AAAGTTAAAAAAAAAAAAAACCTTTGGACAGGCGCCGCCATTTTGTAGTTTTCCTTCAATAAGCCTACACTGTAACGCCAGTCAAAAGAACTACACTACCCAGAAGCCAACAGTGCTTCCAGCTAATGCTTTCAGCTGAAACGGAGGGAAAGGTTTGCTACGCAAAGTCAGAAGTAACGATTTATCTATTAAAGTCTCAAATAATCCTGAAGCTCAATTATCCACGTGCACATCAACCTGGACGGGGCGGTGGGCTTCGTTGCTGCAGGGTAGGTCTGCAGAACCGGAACCGAGCTGCTGGTCTGCAGAGCTGGTGAGTACCCATATAAAATTTTTCAGTCCATGTACTGTATGTTGTTAAAATTACGGAAGTTTAAGAGTTTAGAACATTGCTGGAGTGTGAGAAGGGTTTATAAAGTCTTAAAATATATAAATACTAAAACAAATATAGTGTTCCTACTTCGCGGGTTTTCACCTATCGTGGTGTCTGGAACATAACCCCCTGCATTAATCGAGGGACTACTGTACTTTGGATCAGAGATAAACTGGTCGTAGAACGCTCCTTCAAAACCAATTCGGTTAAGCTGTAAATTATAATCCGGAAACGGGTGAAAATGGGACATTTCATACCTTTTGGGTCGTTCAGTCCTGAACTTCGTCTCTTCTTTAGTTTCATCGCTGACGTCTGAGATGACATCCTGTTGCAGTGGGAGTACATGTCCTGAGTCGGAAACAGACACTGGAAAGGATTATCATCATCATCATCATCATGGCCTCTAGCAGTGTGTTCTGTCCGGGCTTCAGTCAGGTCCATGTTCACGTCGTCTGCGGGGCAGAAAGCGCTTCTGTTCAGTGATTCTCCAGCACTCCTGCGGCTTTTCAGCGACGGTGGAACCTGATTTTCTTTGTCGACCGTTTGCGCTGCACTGTTCGTTTCTTCGGCAGACGGGTCAGTTGAAGCCGCCATCTTGATGGTGCTGGAGCTGCTTGGTTTAGAGAGACTTGCAAGGAAGTTTTGAAAATCAGGGTCCAGAAGAGGCTCTGGATCCTCGTTTCTATCGTTCGATAAAGTGGCCGACTGACTTGTATCCGCAGAATGACGCACCTCATCGACAGCTCTTCTTTCTCCCCTTGTGAGTAAAATGTGATGGGACACGTCTCTGAGAAGATCTGCATCACTGGCGATGTTTATGGTGTGGCTCTGCGTGAGGTCCATGACCGCATCATCTGTAGAAAACATGACGGTTTTCTCCCCAAAGTCACTCCCGCTGTCAAAGTTGACCTGGTGGCATTAGATAGTCGCAGTCACAGAAGATCAAGTTCATAATAAAACATGAAAAAAAATAATAGGAACAATTTAATTTTCTAATCTGGTGGCTGTGATAACAGCAAACTGATTATAACTCACCACGTTCCTTTGTTGAGAAGCATGTAATGGAGCATTCAGCAGGTTTTCTATACCTAAGATTAGACAGTTGAATTTAGTGCCAAGAACTTGACCCTGCAACAGAAAATCTGAGCATTTTCTGCACAGAAGATTAAAAAAAACGTATTTTCCGACGTACACGTCGCACCGCCCTATAAGTCGCATCAATCCAAATATGTCTAATAAGTGAAACAAATCCATAAATAAGTCGCTCGGTCGTACATGTTGCATCTATTCTGCGTCACCGCTGACAACCTGGAAATGTGGGCATTGATTGGCTGCCAAATGGCAGCTGCGGGAGTGTGCACGGGAGGACTTTAAGAAGAATTTAACAAGATTAACACTTAAAAATTATTATTTGTTTCCTCGAAATTACAGTAAAGTTGTGTCTCAGTTTAACTTTTCCTTAATAAATGCACTCTGACGGTCAAATCAGCTGCATTGTCAAAAGTAGCGGTTGCCTCGGTGCTCCAGAAGCACGCTCTGACAGAGGAAATCAGGAAGGAGAAAAGCTGTGCATTTCTTTGAAATTTAACAAGATAAGCGCCTAAAACAATTGTTTGCTCGACATTATAGTAAAGGTGTGTCTCAGTTGATCTTTTACGTAATAAATGCACTTCAGTGGTCAAATTAGCTGCATTTTGCCGAGGCGGCGCAGTGAAGCTGATTTGACGGTTGCTCCAGGTGAGATGGACGAAGGTGGCAGGTATGGCAAGCTGATTGCGTCATTAATAGCCACTTTTACCTATTGCATGACTTCTCGAGTGCCATCTAGCGGCTGAAAATGGCAGAGTTCAATATTTTCAGTCAGAATGAATGAAAACGGTGATATCTCAGCCAAAAATTGGTTTATAAATATGGAAAAAAATCCATAAATACGTTGCTTCAGCATAAAAGTCAAAGGGCATGCAAATTATGCAAAAAACTGTGATTTATAGGCCGAAAAATACGGTATATGTTCAAACTGTTCTTACCTATTATTTGTTGACTTCTGTCATCAGTGACAGCTACCTGGACCCTTAATGTGAGAAAACAGCACTGATGTTAAGAGACTTCATTGCTTTTAGTAAAACTTTAAATCTAATCAAACTAAAATGCAGGTAAATTAGAAGAACTGTAAATAACGTTACTTTACCAGTTTGGTGCTGTTGCAGCTGCTGCAGAATAACACAGAAATTAAGTTACAATGCAGCCTGAAATCTTGTCAATCACATGCCTAAACACACATTATTGTACTGCGTACTTGCTGCCATTAACTCTTGTAGAGGATTTCGGGCAGGGGAGGCATTCTTGACATCCCTGTTAAGAAGAATGCACAGGTTAAAAGAGAAGTTAAAGTATTTAAAGGTAAAATCTCAGAGGTGGTGGTTGTTTTTTGATAACTCACTCGGCAAAAAGTAGAACACCGTTAGCAGGGGCAAAACTAACTCTCTTCGAATTCCTCTTTTCAACTGGTTTGGGTATTTCCACCTTGGTAAAAAATAATAATAATAATGACTAAAAGACTAAAATATATAACCATAAAATAAGTTCCACTTTATTGTTCTTTACCCCTTCAGAAAGGAAGTTTGCTATTTAAGAGTATAAAGTGGTAAAGTAAGACAAAACCTACAACAAACAAACAAAAAATAAGTTTTTACTTTGTTTTCCTCTTGCTTGGTGTCACAAAATGTCCCGGTAGTTGATTGTCGTGGCGCTTTTAAAATCTGACAAGGAAATGGACAATCAAATCAAAAATAAGTTTCTAGGAAATGTAAGGATTGTGTAAATGTATTAAATTAATTGCAACGCTAACAGAAGAAAGGCGACGTCTGGAGTGTCCGCTTCCTTCACTGTAACAAAAAATAAATAAAAGCAGTATTCAGTTGATTTACTGACATTTAGGGTAAATGTTACACAGAACAAGTATTTTTCACGTTTAAAAAGATATATTAATGTTGGAAACAAAGATGACCTGCACAACTTAGCATTTATTTTTGCTTTTCTTTAAAAAAAAATACTTGCTCTTATTATTGTTTTACTCACATTGTCTTTGAAGGATCCAAAGGCTCCATTTTCACTGTAAAATTATAGAAAGACATATAAAAAAAAAAAAAGGATAAGTTTTGAGATTTTTTTTTTAATAGTACTTGGCAAACATTTTAATCCACCCATCATCTTTTTTACTTTTCTTCAAGTAAGTAAAATGTTTTGTGTTCTTTTTAAACGGTCTTGATCAATAGTACTCAGGTTTTTCTGTGTTTTTTCTTCTACTTGGACAATTTAATTTAGGTTGGTTTTAAGGAACTTTTCCTATCCAATACAATATCAATACAATATCCTTACAATATTTTGTGTGGTGTGTGCCTAAAAATGAAAGAAGTGGATAGGTGGAAGACAAAACAGCAGCAAAAAAAAAAAAAAGGATTGAGGATTGTATTTTTAGCCTTAAAAATTCAACCAACAACAAAAAAAAAAGTACGAAATTATCTCTTTAAAACAAGCTGCTGGGAATAAGGTGTCTAAAGATCTAGTTTAATAATTTATTTATTCCTGTGTGTTTTTGTCAACACAACACTGGTTCATCCCTTCAGTTTAGGAGATTTAAGTGTAACTCCTTCACAGGTAAATTGTATTTTAAACACAAATCATCCCTCTGAAGAGGTCAACAACAAATAATTTACAGAAGTAGATACAAAAGCTGTCACAAGTCCAAAGATAAATAACAATACGCCAGAAAGCTTGTAAAACTACGTAAGGTCCGATGAAAGTCTAATTCACAAAGACATTTACGCAAGACTCGAGACTTTGCGCAGTAAATTGGAGTGAATTTCACTGGTGTGTTGACCAAACAGCCAGAGAGTAAAGTAACAAAAAAAAAAAAGAAACCGTCCAGAAGACCTGACTTAACTTTGTTGGATTTTTCTACCTGGATTATTGAGCATCAATCAGGAAGCCAAAGAGTAATTAGATACTAAACCAACTAATGTTTTTACGGAAATGCAGCTGTTTAACTTCAACAAATAAGCCTATCTCAAGCTGACCAACTTAATGCAAATTAGTAAAGGCTAGATAAATATGCTGAAAGTTAGATTTCCTTGCTCAAAAGTAAAAAAAACACAAACAGCGAGTTCACATTTTTCTTCGCTTCTTACAGAAAGTTGTTTACATGCATGATGCTAACGACGCTGGATTGTTTAACGTACGTTAGCGTCATTGTTAGCTGATTGATAAAAATAATTCCAAATCAACATACAATACAAACCTTATAGTTTCTTAGAGAGCCCCCTTGTTTTATAAAGGCTGCATCTGTTTAACAATCCTAAACGCGTTTTCGTTCAGACATATTAACTGTTTAACAACAAACCGATGCGCGAAATAAGCTAACGTCTGGAGTTTTTGAATTAACCGCCCACACGCATGCGCATTGGATTTTCGTGCAAATTTTGTCTCACATATTTATTTATTTATGCTTACCCTGGTTATAAAAAAACTAAATAAATTTGTTTTAAGATGTGTTCATATTTTCAAAAACTTTTACCTATATATTTTTAAAAAATAATAATTTTAACTAAACCGGAAATCGTTGACGGACACACCGGAAAAGCTCACACAGGGCGGGGCGTTTTTAAAAAATTGTGGACTGTTGATGACTCTCCTATTTCAGGTATTTATCCCCTTTGTATTACTACACCATTTCTTCTTTTGATATATTTAATTTGCGTTGAATATAATATATACCGTACATTTCTTTTATACTATGTATAATGAACTTTAAGTCAACGTTTCTTTTACCTCGCAGCGTCGATGCGTTCAAGAGAATCCGTAAAATGCGCTTTTTGTCTTTCAGCGCTCAGTTGAGAAATATAAACAAAATTAGAATCGTATTTATTGTCCAAGTGTGTAAAGAACACAACAAATTTGAAAAAAGTGATTAAGTTTTTCAAGTTTTATTTATTAGTGAATATGTGGTGGCAGTTTGCTTTCAAACTAATAATTAAACCCAGGTTTTATATTTTTATTTTATATGTTTAAATAAAGGTTGAATGAATGAATATGTCTAAACATAAAGCAATACAATGCTTTAAATATCATTTTGGTCTTGCAAAATTTTCTTAATGTGCCCCCCCATTTTAAGACAATATTTAATTTTAGACTTAAAAAAGCCGTTTACTAATAATAATGTCTTTATTTAAACAATATGCAGTCACCTCTTTTAAAATATGTAGTGCTAAATTAGATTTGTCATAGTCAAAACAAAAAGCAAAGTAAACTAGCAAATCTAAACATAAATATGAACAAATGTATAGTTTAGTTTATAAAACAGTAAAAAAACTGTGGTTAAATTATTTCTGTAAAATATTAGTTGTTATCCATTGAAATATGTATTTGTTTTTAACGTATTTACTGTTGAAGGAGGGGTGTTTTAAACATAAAAAAAAAGTGTTTATGCCGTTGAAGTGAACTCCATCTGTTAGCAAAATATCTCATAAACCACTGGATGGATTGTAATGAAACTTCAAGAAATAATCACTGGATATACCTCTACAGTTGATTAACTTTGGAACCAGCTTCATTCAAAACATCATGCTATCTATAGCACCGAGTTTCTTGCAGGGTTTCAGACTGAGGAAGTCATTTGGATGAAAGACCAAACGTTTCACAAAGAAGAATCTGTCCAGATGACCCTCGTTAGATTTATCTACCTGGATTAATGAGCATGCATCAGGACATTCATTCAAGACGATCAACACAAAGATGGCTATAACTCGTTCAGTTTACAGATGTTGAGCTAACATTTGATGCAGTAGTTGAGAATCCTCTGCGTGTGGCATGTGGTGATATCACACGAGCGCTCTTAATTTTATTTTCAAGGAACGGCTTCATTTCTTAACAATGGATAAACTTAGTCTAAAACTGAAGTTTTAAAGTCTTTAAATCGTTATTTTCTGACACTGATGAACTGCAATGACCTTTGAGCAGTCCCCATTTTTGAAAAATGTATATTTTATCATCTTTCCATACAGGCGTCTTTATTTTTGTTGGTATCATCTTGTTTGTGAAGAAGAAGAAAAAATGTCTTCAAAAATTCCAAGAGGTGAGCCGATTCTTCTATCTTTACTTTTTCTCGCTGATTTTAATTATTTATTTTATTTTTTTTGGTAAAGGAGAGTATTTTTTTTGTCCTTTACCCTATATTTATACATTTATATCTTTACTTTATTTATACTTTTATATTAAATAGCCTAATGTTTACAGCACCACACTTGCCGGTACTTGCAGAAACAAAGAAAAACGTCCAAAAACAGGAACCCAAAGACGCGGCAGCACAACCTACAGCAGCCAACACTGTCCACAAACCGGAGGGGATCCTTAAGGGACAAAAGGAAAATATGCCAAAGTAAATTATAATACATGTAATAATTACTATTAAGAAAACAGATTTTTATTTATGTATTTGTTTTTAGATAATGTGATCCAAAGAGTGTAAATAGCTTGTTTGCTGGTTTTAATCCCATTGTTCTTAGCCTTTTAATTCTTGTTTTGTCTTTTAGGAAAAATGTTGCTCCTAAAATTCACAAAGGGTAAGTCAGACCGAATATTAAGGATTTATCTCCTAAGAGATGATGTTTTTGCCGTTCGGTGTTTGTATATCGTGAACACTCATTATTTTTGAATGAAACTCAAAATTTATCTATTATATATATATAGACGTACATCCACGTCTACAATTCATTTACCTTAAGTGAAGAAAGGAAAAAAAAAAAAGACTAACATGGCTATAAATCCCTGTGATGGACTGGAGACCTGTCCAGGGTGTCCCCCACCTCGCACAGTGATATCTGGACATGGGCACCAGTGACCCCCGCGATCCAAAAAGGAAGAAGTGGGTAAAGATAATAGATAGGTGGCTATAAATCAGTCCATTTTACAGATGTTGTGCTAAAATAATAGATAGGTGGCTATAAATCAGTCCATTTTACAGATGTTGAGCTAAAATAATAGATAGGTGGCTATAAATCAGTCCATTTTACAGATGTTGAGCTAAAATGAGGTGTTCTTGTATCTGCGAGTCCTCTCTAGCGCATAACCCAAGCACTGACTGATTATACCAGATTATTCCTAAAACTTTGCCCTTAATAGTGTAGTCAGCTGTGTCTGTTAGTGAAATATCTCCTGAACCACTTGGCAAATTTTAACGAAACGCTGGGTGTACATCAACAACTGCTTTCCTTTTGAAGTCAACCCAAACCAAGATGGCTGCCACAGTCAACTGACATAGGAAATGCAGAAGTGGCTATAATGTAGCTAATTTAACACATTGAGCTCAAGTTTACTGTGGTGGTAGCTGAGCATCACTGCCAGCTCATACACTAAACACTTTACTAATTGGTGTCAGCTCGGTTTGTCTGTTAGCAAAATATCACACAAACATATAGGTGGGTCTGAACGTAAATCTTAAAGTGATCATTGAATGTACCGGTACGTCTACAACTGAGGCCACCACAGCAAATCAACATACCGTATTTTCTGCCGTACACGTCGCATCAGTCCAAATAAGTAATAAAGTGGAAAAGTCCATAAATATGTCGCTTCGTCGTACACGTCGCATCTATTACACGTCACCGCTGACCACCTGGAAATGGCAAGCAGATTGTGTCATTAATAGCTGGGGAAGATTCTCAGTCATCCAGGACATGGTAAATTCAAAAAAAGTTCAAGAAAAAAAACAATAAAGTATAAAGTAATGTATAATAAATAAAGTTCAGTTGTTTTTGTATTGAACTTTTTTAATTTGTCATTATAGCCATGTTTACCTATTACATGATACAAAGCCATGCCATACAGTTACTACTACTACTACTCTGCTGCCATCTAGTGGCTGAAAATGGTACTGCTCAATATATATATTTTTAATCAGAATGAATGAAAACGGTCATATCTCATCCAAAAATTGGATTATAAATATGAGGGGGAAAATCCATAAATATGTTGCTTCGGCATATAAGTTGCAGAGCATGCAAAGTATGCAAAAAAACTGCAATTTATAGGCTGAAAAATATGGTAAGCCAAAGCAGTAACTGGCATTTTTACAGATATTGAGCTTGAATTTGGTGTGGTAGTAGCTGACAGTCATCCAGCGCCAGCACATCTCAAAATGAGATCATACAGATTGTCTTTTACAAAGTTGGACCATAACTCTGTTCCTCCTCAGCATAAAATTATTTCAGTTTGAAATCTGGCATCGAAGTTGCATCCTCTAAAGTGAAACGGTGCTTTTTAATCTTAAGACCTAGTTGCATGTTTAGTTTTTATTTCTCACTTGTTTATTGAACTCATGTGTAGGATCTCGACCAGGTACGGGCAACAGGCTGAGCTGAAGGAACAAAATCAGCACCTGATGGGCGTTAATGAGGGGCTACAGAAAAACCTGTCTGAGACGCAGGTAAGGAACACAAAGAAAGAATAAATGTTTGTTTATTAGATACTAAAGTGTGTTTGTTTTCTAATACAGCAAAGAGTTACAGAGCTGGAGCTACAAATCAGCAAACTTCAAAATGAGAACTTAGAGATGAAGAAAAACTTACACGACTGTCACGTTCTTCTCGTTTCAGCCAAAATAGATCCAGGTAAATACAAAACGAGCTTTA